GGGCATCTGTAATCTTAGGTACACCAAGTTGGGTCCCACCTGACATTGGAAGCTCAGGGCATCTATGCAAAGTGTAACATTACACGGTACATGTACATAGAGGAATGTAAAACTAGTGTCGTACAAAGCTTTGGGCAAACCCATGATAAGACCACTGGGCGTAGAAGGCTAAGAAACCGAAGAGACAGAAACTTACTTGGAAATCCTGAATAAAGAGGTAGCACAAACTTTTAATTATACCATTGAACTGATGGAAGCTTATAAAACACCTTCATAGAAACTGTTGAATAAACTGGATGACAAAGATGTATAGAGGAACACATAACCAACCAGGCTGCCAGAATCACTAAAGAAAAAGGATATATAAGTATATTATACCAGGTTATCTGGATTGGGAGTCTGGGGAGTCAGTTAGTTCTGAGTTGTGGCTAGTAGGGAATAATGGAGAAGAAGTCAGAAAGATGGGTATCAGGGTTTGGGTGAACTTTACAAGGTAATAGCAGTTTAAGGGGCAACCTTGACTGCAAGTATTGGCCTTGGCCATAGCATCAAACCAGATTAGTGGTAAAAAGGAATATGACTCACTCTGGTAGGTTTACCTCGAGGATAAAAATAGTCTAAAGATTATAGTCCTATAGTCGATTATGAATAGATCCAGGTCTGTAATCTGGTGAAATTAATACTAGAGTTAGATCAGAGGGTTTAAATAGAACATCTAAGCAGGGGTGTTAGGTACGACAACTAGTGGAAAACCCTTGGGTGGACTTCTTAAATAGGTAATATAGAAAAGTTACATGTGTAGCCAGTTGTACACTCATCTAATAGTTCATTATAGATACGTCTATATAAAACATGTATCTGCTATAAGTATTAATAAAAAGCTTAAACCAAAGAGGTCATCTTAATACTGAAAAAATAAAACATAGTAGTTAGCACTTTTAAATCATAATTACAAAATCACAAATTTAAATTTTACTAAATAAAAACAACTTTACCAGAATTACAATTAAAAATAATCTTCAAAGAATTTTTTATTAAAAAAAAAACAAGATTTACATATAAAAAATATAGTTTGTTAACATAATTATAGAATTAAAAACAATTAAAAAAAGCAAATCCATTAACAAATAATGCTAATATTAAGAAAACTAGCTAAAAAGATTAATAAAAAAAAACATTAAATATAATAAATAATTTAGCTAATAAGTTATATAAAGTTAAAAAACTGCAAACTAAATAAAAGATAATAGGTTCTATACTGCAAAACCAGAAATTAGAATATTATATAATAAACTTAATGAAACAAGTTTCTTCATAAGTATACATAGTAATGAATATAAAAGTTATATACCATCTAATAATTTTTGCTAAATAATAACTCTAATTTTTAAAAAAATATAACAAATTCAATAAATATCTAAAAACCTTTAAGATAAAAAAATATATATATATATTGTTTCTATTAAACTTTTTAGATTTTTTTACTTTAAAAATTATTCTAGTTACTTTAATAGTATTTACTTACAAGCTTAATACAAAATTATAAATAAAATATTCTAATAACTCAAATACTTATATTTTTTAATTACTTTCTTTTTATACATCTAAAAACAACCTAATACATCAAATAATCTTAAAGCATTGTCAATTCACTACCCTACAACAAACTAATAAAAATTTTCTTGAGACTAACAACTATAACTAAAAAAAAGCTGAAAATAAAAAATAATACAATCAAAAAATAAAGAAAAGTTTATCAAAAAAAATCAGACGGTCACAGTTATAAAGCCACATAAAAAAACGACTATATAATTTTAATTATATTATAACTTCATGTAGCATAAACTGCATAAGCATATATCACATTTCTATTATTGACCAAAAATATAACATATATTTGAATTTGGTTATTATCTTAAATGAAATAGAAATCCAATTCTCAAACCTAAACTATATAATATTATCGCTCAAAAGAGTAGTTCTATCTCACGTCATCGTCATATATTCTCGAATTTTTTCTATCAATACTTTTACCTTTAAATCGATCTATATACCTCCAAGGTGATCTCATATCATATCGTCGTTCGGGTGGAATGCTTTCATCACTTTTTTGATGCCGATCTTCGTTTTCAGCCAAAACAGTTTTGTAAAATTCTAAATTTTCTTTCCACTGTAATTTTTGATTCTCATTGATTTTATCAGCATATTCTGAATCCAGAACAGTTTTGTAAACTAGAATAATCCTTTTTAAATATCTAATATCATATATATTATATAATGGCATGGGCGCGTTCCCAAATTTATTGATATTTGCCTTGTTTGTTTTTGAAAGATTTTTTATTTTTTCAGGACAGCGCGGCCCAAGAGATTCAATTTGTTCTAATGTCCAACAAATTTTTTCTAAACTCTCAGATTCAGATTTGCGATTTAACATTGATAATTCTAATATCATATTTAATAAATGAGAATCTAAACTAATCTCTTTTTTTTGTTTTATTATTAACTCGAAAAACTCTTTCCCAGCTGTCCAATCCTCTGTTATACGACATGCTGTTAGTAACAAATCATATGTTTCTAGTGTTAGTTCCAAACTTCGGGCACGAATTGGGTAGAATGTGTCTATGGATTTTGTAAATTGTCCTAATTGATTATAACATATTATCAATTTGTTAAAATTATGAATATCAAGTGTTATATCTGGGAATTGACTTAGTGTTTCATCAAATAACATTATGCCTTTTTCGTATTGACGTGCACCTATGCAAAGATTTAACATTATATCAACCGATTTTGGCGAAATCAAATGTCTATTTGATAATATCGATGGTGTTTTTTTTCTTGACAATTCGGATGATACCGAAAATCCATAAACGTTCTGCAATATTTCAAATCCTTTGTCATAGTTTTTAGTTTTGCTGCACACTAAAAGCATTGATCTTACAAGTTCATCATCCATTTCAATCTCGTATCCAGAGCCGGGTGCAAAATCTGCACCATATCCATCGTGCTCTCTGATTTGTGACTGTTGTTCCTTTTGTTTAGAAACTAAAGAATTTAATTGATTCCACAACTGGATAGCCATAAGATACCCTTTTTCACCGTTTCTTGCACAAGCGTTAAAAATGATGGTAAAAGTTTCTTTGTTAGGAGTCCAATTACCTATTCTCATCATGTCATTGAAATTTTCTTGCATTGCTTCAAAATTGTTGAGTCGAGAGCAAAGTTTTAAAAGGCAATTCACATGAATTACGTTTAATTCTACTGGCTTGGCTTTTGTTAAATTTTGCATATTGTCGATCATTTTACGTGCTTGCAAGATGTTATCTACGAATGGTCGATGATCTGCAAGGCCATTTAATAAAATTGTAAAACTTTGTTCATTTGGGACAAATCCGTGTTTTTTCATCTGTCATCAAACTTTCATTAGAAAATAATTAAATGCAGCTTAATTCGAAATATATACCTTACCCCATTAAACATTCTAAACGCCATTTGAAATTTTCTGTTTTTAACACATTCAACAATTAAATGGTTCCACACAACTTCAGACTGTGCACTTTTTTTTGCTTTCCAAACTACACTTATAGCATCATCTAACCGATTTGCTTCTCCAAATTTTCTTACCCATTCTGCTAAAATATATGGATCTTCAGGAATTGCAAGGTCTGTTTCTTTAATCGAAAGGCGAGCTCTACTTATCTGAGAAGTTTGTGAAAATGTTCGACTGGAAAACGGTATGATAGAAGGAAGTTGAGATGTAGGTAAATACAAATTTATAGGGCCATAGGTTACTATGAAAGGTAAGAATAAAAGTGATTTAGGTAGCAAACAAATTTTTTTGTTACGGTAGACGGTCAACACTTTAATACCGCTTGTTGTATAGCATGAAAACCTTAACATTATTAAAAAATCGATTATCATTATCGGTCTGCTTTTATAATTTGTAAACTTAATTTGGATAAAGTTGTATTACATCGGTGTAACCAACTCGCAATATAAAATAATGGGCAAGAGGCGTCCGAACCAACCATTTCGACGACCAACAGGACAAGAAGAGATGTCTGCTGCGTCAAAACAACAAACTATTGAACTGGGTGATTTAGAATTACCGCAGTTAGCAGAGGTTAAAAAGCAATTGGAAGAAGTTTGTAATTTTTTGTGTTATGGTAGTCTTAAAGATGCTTCGCGTATTCTCTAAAAATAGACTACAATGATTATATTCACCAATATATCTTTAGGAATTGACCCACTTGACAGATTCCTTTGGAAAATTGAAGCAAGTTCAGACACGTTTCCAGGATTGTATAAATAGTTTACAAAACATCAAAACAAAAAGATCAGGTATAAATTTGGTATTTTTTCATCCAAATGGCATGCTTTTCAACTGAACGTGATTTTATGAATTCATTAGGATCGCCAATTCTTGTACCATTAACAGGATCAATATCCTTTAAAATTAGCGTTAGGCAGTTCCAATATCTTAAAGGATGCCATATTTACATTGTTTTCCTTAATAAATAATCTACCTTTATGTTCCAGGTGAATTGTCTGAGACGGATAAAGTAATAGTAGATGTCGGAACTGGATATTATGTTGAAAAGGTTTGATCTAATTAGTATGATATAATTAATATGAATTTTAACAATTTAATTTTATTTTAAGGCTTCAGATGACGCTATAAAATTTTATTCGGATAAAGTCGACTTTGTCAAAAAGAATTTAGATAAATTACAAGAAACGATTAACACAAAGCAAAATAATTTGAAATGTATGCCACCTTTTCATTATTTGTTTGTGTGCTTACTTGACCAAGAATTTTATTAATCAGATGTCTTTTTCAAGTGACACTCGATGTGATGCAATTGAAGATATCTCTAGGTTCAGCGAGCACTTCAAAGCAATCTTCGACATAATAATTTAATATATCGAATGGTAATTGATGCATAATTTTATTTGCAAAATTTTGTTATAAAAATAAAGCGCAACTTAAAAATTTTGTCTAAAAGATTGCTAAAAATTTTTTGTGGTAAAATATTATTTAAAGATTTATTATAGTAAATATTAATACAGATGGTCCTCATTAAATCATTCTCTCAATAGTAAAAAAATGAATTTGGGCTATATAAAAATCATCCCGTTATCAGCCCCATAGATACCAACATAATTGTCTAATTTAAATAGATCGATTATTAACGAGGGTCATTTGTATTATTTTATTAGCAAGTTATTATAAGGCACGCTATATAATTGCCGGAGAAATCTCTAGAGTCTGGAATTTAATTATGCTTGGGATCTGGAATTCGGGCGGGATTGCGAAAATTCTAACCTGGATAAGTATATTTCTATGCAGGGTTTTAAATACTTAGTTACTAAATAATTAATAAAGTTTATATATAAAAATTAGTACTATTTATAGTATTTGGAGTTTTATTTAAAGTAGTAAAATATTTTATATAATAGTTTAGAAAAATACAAGTTAGCCAAATATCTTATATCAGGACTTTGCGGTAGAAAGTGCAGAGACTATCTAAAAAATAAAAAATGAGTTTTTATTAGATTTAGATAAATTTTGATATGGTCAAGGCTTTTTAATTATAAATGAAAGTTGATTTGCACAATAAAAAATTAAAATAATGTAAAAGAAAATTGCACAAGGCTGTCTAAATGCCAAGAGATTAGGCCATACAAAATTTTTTATACGTATTGGTCTTTATAACATACAACCCTGTAACGAGACCCGCCAACCTGGGTTTTATTAACAATTATTTAAAAATTTTTAAACTAAAAAATTTTTAAACAATCATAATCTAGAAATTTATAACAAAATCTCAAAAAAAAATTTATAATTGAATCTGTACATATGAAATAATGTTTTTTTAATTGATCTGACAGGTATTTTTTTATTATAAAATTTTATAAAATTTAAGATTTTATAATTAAGAAATTTTACTGTATGACCTGACAGATATTCTTTTAGAATATTACTAAAACGCACCTATGGTGTTTTACACCTATGCATGCATTATCTTAAAAACCGACTAATTAATCAGTACAAGGTGTTTTAAGTAAAAATATTCTACGCCTCTGAAAACCCTTTTCAAACCCTAATACTAACTTAAAAACTAAATCCTAACGTGAAAAAATTTAAGTCAAAAATTTCTATAACAAAACTTATAAAAACTTAGAAAATTTAAAAAAAAATAATAAAAACAGATAATAGGTTAAATATTAAGGTGAGTACTTGTGACCCTTGTACAACTTTAGTCATTGTCTAATTTAAGTAGTCCGTCCGAAGGTTCTACACTAGCTGCCATACCTGGAACCTGCTTGTAGGTTCCCTATTTAACCACTCTGTTCCCGTATCCA